CTCTCCTGACCCCTGCCCTGTCCTGCCTGCAGCCCGGCCCTGCCCTGCCAGTCACACAGTCACTTCAGTCTTGCTGGCTGTGTAGCAGGTGTGGTGGCCCGGGATGTAGTGCAGCTGCTCCACCGTGTTGTGTCTGCGCGAGGCAAAGGCCTGGCGCTTGGCTGCTGTCTGGCTCTGGCCCAGGGTGGCATAGGAGTTATTGGAGGCACTGGGATGGGAGTGCATCTTGGTCATGCGGTAGCGGTCCAGCACAGGCGTGGACACAAAGACGTCTGTGTGTGAGATGGCCCGCGACAGGGACTGCTCTGGGAAGGCCGTCCGCTCCGGGGACAGCAGTGGGTCCTGGGAATGCAGGCGCTCCGTGGAGAGCAGCTGCTCGTCAGACAGGATGCGGTCATAGGGCATGCCGAACTCCTCCGGCAGGCCCCGCTGGGGGGACAGGACCCTGTCCTGCGACATGGCCCGGATGGGCCGGCGGGGCCGCTCGCGTGGCAGCGGCTTCTGTTGGGACATCTGGATGACGTTGAGAGGGAGGGTACCACGAGCAGCCAGGTCGGGCAGGTGCCGCCTCCTCATGTAATACTCATCAGCCTCCTTGTCAGCTGCAAAGGAGACACAGAGAAGTAGCTGGGGTGGGACCTCAGCGCTGCCTCTGGGTGTGAACAGACATGCTGCAGCCAGACAGGTGGAGGCAGTGCTGTCCCCTGCATGTGTGCACCTCGCATCCTGTTAGATGCGGATTCTGATTCAGAACCCCTCGTCTGGAGGGACCTGAGAGTCTGCATCTTTACTGCTTCTGCCACACCATGGTTCTGAAAGAGAATGGCTCCCTGGGATTTGCGGAAACACCCAAGGAGCTTTCCAGTGAGAACCACACTCCAGCTAGAATAAAATAAGACGCTTCAACCAGGAGGCACTTGTGAAAAGGCGTAGCTGGTAACTTAGGAACATAGTAACACCTTCTCTGGAGTAACAGCCAATGCATAGGAAGTCAGCACATGGGCATCCAGCCTCCACACAGCCACAGAGTGGAGCCTACATACTTGGCTTGCCTGCAGTATGAGCAGGCC